GAAGTCGGACGCTTAACCGACTGTGCCACCCAGGCGCCCCCGTGAATTCTGTTTTATTGTATGGACCTTCAGGTGAATTATCTCGGTTTACCACAAGTAGTAAAACACAAGCATGGCCCCCCCCAAGCCTCCCTCACAGCTCTTCCCCCCCCCCACCCCCACCAAAGATCACAGCTCTATAATTAAGCTATTCTGTTGGTATCCCTTTCTCATCGATTCTCTGGAATTTTCCGTCAGGAGTTGTGATGTGTGCAACCAACATTGTTACCTAGTAATGCCGAGTCGCTGCCCAGTGCAGATAAAGTTCTGTGCACATTTCATGCCCTTTCCTCTCAGGCTTGAGAGTAGTAAAGGAAGTTATTGAGAGGAGTGTGTACTGTGAAGAATGGGGAGGTGTGCTTTCCTCGGCCACTTACCATCAGGCTCTGACTTGCCTTAGTGTCCTCTCCGCGCCATCTTGTTTGGCTTTATAGGCGAAGAGTCGAAGAGGGTTTTCAAACATTGTGCGCTAAACTTTAGGAGGAATGCATGGTCCGTGTAACGGAGGAACATTTCAAAACTGGAGACTCAAATTACCATGGGAGACATCACAGAAAAGAATGGAATTTGAGCTGGATCTAGAAGGATGAGTTGAGTTCAGAAAAGTGGAGAGGGGAAGAGATTTCACTTAGGGGGGCCTCTGAAGCAAAGGGAGACAGAACAAAACAAGCCTACGAGACAGAGAATGGGCAGTTGGTGGAGTTCAGGAGTGGGTTGGTCAGCTCATAATGAGTCCTTTTTTTTTATTAAAATTTTTTTTAACATTCATTTTTGAGAGACAGAGTGTGAGTGGGGGAGGGGCAGAGAGAGGGAGACACGAAATCTGAAGCAGGCTCCAGGCTCTGAGCTGTCAGCACAGAGCCCGACGCGGGGCTCAAACCCGCCAACCGTGAGATCATGACCTGAGCCGAAGTCGGACGCTCAACCAAGTGAGCCACTCAGACGCCCCCATAATGAGTTCTTAGTGCTGAGCATCGTTGCTTGATTAATTCCTTGAGTGATCCACGCATTCAACAACTGGCTTCTCATAGCTCATAGGATGAAATCCACACCACTTCACTCACATGTGATTTCCTTATATGTTAAAATCTACTCCCCTCAACACTGTGTACCTAAACACCCGCCAGTAATATTGAAGACTTTCTTGACCCTTCCAACATGTCGTACTCCTTTAAATCTCTGTGTGTCTGCACAGACTGCGTCTTCTGGAGTCTACCTGGGGAATAATACCTCATCCTTCGACCCCAGTCGCAGCCTGATTTTTATTGTTCCTCTGTAGAATCGTAGGCATGTACGACTAAAGCTTTTATGCCATATTTTGTGCTGTCAGAGTGCATGTCTGTTTCCCTCACTCAACTAAGAGCTCCCTGAGAGCAGGGGATTGTTCCCTGTTCACCTTTATTTATATCCATATCACCTAGCGGAGTACCCACCACATATGTAGCAAATCCTTAACAAATATTTGTTGACTAAACCGTGTGTTGAACGTTTAATTTACATCACGTATAGCCGTCTTTGAAGAGAGTCACCTAGAAGCAATGTGATTGACAGATCGAACATGGGTGATGCAGAGAGATCAGTTATGTGTATTTTTGGAAGTAGCTCATTTGCTAAAAAAACATAAACAAGAACAAAAACAAACACTAGGGACTAGACACCTGTGAAATCGACAAAGAATAAAGGCTAGGACTTCATGCCTGGCTACTAGAGGCACGGGAGAGGGAAGGGTTACAGAGAACGAAGATTTAAGGTAACATGACAAAGAACAGGGCAGCGACCCTTGAAAAAAGAAGGTTACTTTCAGGCAAACGTGTTTTCTCCTACGTCAGATCTCCCGGTGTTGGTATTTGTCTCATCCCACCTCTGCTCTAAAGCCCGGCAGTTTGTTCCCGTTCAATTAACTGGAACTAAGCTCGAGGTTCCTGTGGTTCTGATCCCCGCATCTGATCCGTCCTTAAGATAAGAAATAAAAATAGTTCAGCCACGCCGGCTACAATTTCCCACCAATGGAAGGTGTTCAGTGCATAGGTTTTTGAATATATAAAAAGGCTGTTTCTGCCTTTGGGAGCTGCAACTGAAGTGTTATACCAGGCAGATACACTGGGGTGCGCTACTGTGTAGCAGAGCCTAGCCGTGCCTCCCAGCTCTCAACTTTAAAACTCCAGAGAATTTGATGAGAGAGGGATCCACAAGAACATGACAAATGATGAGAGTTCAAACCTTGAGAGAAAAATGGGCTTATTGGTAAGAGACCTTTCTTTTCCTTTATTTACTGCTGTTACTTCTTCATTACAATAGCAAGCCTGTTGTTTTCGTACGTGGCTGTGAAACGGTGTACAAAAAGCAATTTTATATGTATTGTAGAATTCAGGAGACATATTGGTAACCATGCAAAAATCATAGGAAGCATGGAGAAAGCTTGATTTTTTTTTTTTAAGTCACTAAGGAGATTTTATTTTCTTTCAGACTGTGGTATAGATTTGTAAATATATCTGAAGCTTAAATGTAATACAGGTTAAGAAATACATATATATATATTTTTTTTTTTTTAAAGTTAAAATAAAGAATAGTGACTTGTGTAGAGATACATAATTTCCCTCAGTTACCAGAAGGTGGCACACCAGATTCTTCTTAAATACACAAAGGAAAGGAATAATATTAATAGGAATATAAAATAAGCTGTATTTAAAGATACGTTAATGTATTTGTAAGTAAAAAATGTAATTGCTATTTGCGTGGTGAGGCTTAATGCTAAAACATGGCAAATATTAATTCAACCCATTGTAGCTTTTTATGATTGCAAAATAATAATTTTTATGTGTATAGCGTTTTAAAAGTGGACTTTGAAATAGTATCGCCGTTAAAGAGATGCTGTTTTGAATTCATGGCTCCAAATAAAATAAATAAAAGACTTGCTACCTACCTTTACATAAGAAGTCCTTAGCTTGAGGATAACATTTTGGATAAGGTCTCTGCCAAGGTCTTTCTGACGGTACTATTAGACTCTGACTTTGATTGAGTTGTGACTTGAATAGTGCTTGTGAGATGACCCAGAAAGGAGCCCGAACTGTTTATTTTGAAGACAAAGTTAGATAAGGGTAACGCTTAGCAGCGGTCACTCTCCGTAAGCTAATTGCAACACGAAACGTAATAAAGGTGAATGCATGCAATTTGGCGTTAGCTGCTCCTACACTTTCTCAGAAAGTTGACTGGTGTCAGCCTATACCGCAGTGCTCCGTAGTAGGTCTCTATTTTGAGAGCTGCGTTCCTCGGGCAGTACCAGAAGTCTTGTCTGTTCGTCGTTGTCTTTTATATTAGCCCGGAGGAGTGAGATACAGGAGCGTTCACAAAACCCAAATCTTCCGGTTAAGGAGACCGGTGCCTCTGTTTGTGTGTTTTTATTAATTATGAGCAGTATGACAATAAGAAAATTGGTACTAAACGCACCTAGAAGAACATTAACCATCTGTTCCCTGAAAGCTTGTAATGCGTGTCATTTGCTCTCAGGTTTTTATGGCACAACAGTGGATCAGCAAAGAACTGAACTCTAAGCTTCAAAAACTAGAAAATGACAAAGCATTCCAAGGCCGGGTATATATTGACTGGAAAAGCCTTTCCTTCTGTCCCGATTTTGCCAGTTTAGTCTTTCAGATCAGCTGCCAATAGATGTTGCATTTAACGTCAGTCTTCATTCCAGACTTTCTGAAACATTAAGAGGGCTTCTAAAAACAAATAGAATCTTACGGCTTTCTTGTTAAGTTGTTGTTTTCTTTTTTTAAGTGAACTTACATATTTACAAGTTGTTCGGAGTGGTGTTGACTGTTCAGGATTTATGAACATGGTTTATTAATTTGCAGCTAAAATATATATTCTGCAGAGCATGCTTTGAAAAATTGGAACTAAATACAGTAAAGCCACAATTAACCAGATTTTTTTTTTTTTTTTTTTTTTTTTTT